GATAAGTGCTTGGAGCAAGGGTCAACAACTCGAAACACATAAGCAAGACTACGGACCGCAAATCAAGGCAAGAGAGTATACGCGACACTTCATCAAGAACGATAAATTAAAGAGACTGATACGCCGAAGACCGCGACAGACCCAAGAAGGAAGAGAGCATACAAGAGAAGGGCACATACAAGAGAAGGGCACATACAAGAGAAGGGCACATACAAGAGAAGGGCACATACAAGAGAAGGGCACATACAAGAGAAGGGCACATACAAGAGAAGGGCACATACAAGAGAAGGGCAACTACACACACAAGAGGAATACACAAGAGTAATACACAAGGGGGGACAGACAAGAGATGGATACACACAAGAGAGCGACACCGCCACAAGAACGACAGACTCGAGAGAACGACACCCAAGAGAAGGAGACATTCAAGAGGGCGACATAGCTAAGAGGGCGATAGACTCAAGAAAAACAGAACACATCAGAGCTGGGAACAAATTCAAGAGGAGGGCACATACACGTACAAGAGGGAGACACAAAAGGAATGAACAGACGACGAGGTGGCACATACGCGAAGTGGAAACATAAACAAGAGATGGATATACACAGAAAACGGCACCCTCAAGAGAGCGGCGCCCTCAAGGAACGGCAGACCAAAGAGAGCGACACTCGAGCGAATGGTACACTTAAGGAACGACAGACTGAAGAGATCGACACTCGACCTACCGACACACTCAAGAGAGCGGGACATTCAAGAGGGCGACAGACTCAAGAGGGGAGACAGGGCATCAGAGCCGGGAGCATATGCAAGAGAAGGGTGTTACATGCATAAAAGGAACATGGAAAAGGAATACACAAACACCCGAGGGTGTTGGGGCACATACAAGAGACGGATACATATACAAGAGAAGGATATATAAGAGAGCCGCGCCCTGAAGAGAGCGATATACACAAGCAATCAAGACGATCAAGAGAACGACACCTTCAAGACATCGAGATATTCAAGAGTGCGGCGCACTAAGAGGAAAGCGAGCGCATATGGGCAAGAGAATAAAGCATGCACACACACGAGAGGAGCAAGAGACGGAAAACATGTGAGAGGAGAAAGGAAATACCCTCGACGATTAACGTTCCAAGCCGGCCCGAAACAC